AGAAATTGAAGCCGTCATCTTCTTTTTCCTCATTTTTCTTCTGTTGATCAAAACTTGCATCTCCTTCTCAACCCCAATTCCGATTGAAAGTATCGAAGAGTGGTGGTGAACGATTTTTGGCCGAGACTAGAAGTATAGGAGGGTGTAGGGAATGTCAATGATGGGGAGTGTATAGGGTTTACCAGAAAGGGGTGGGGTGAGTATAATTTGTCTTTTTTGTTATATATATATATATATATATATATATATATATATATATATATATATATATATATATAATTCAAAAGAAATTAAAAATGAATTATTGAAGGGCAGCTTCATCATTTCAAGTTGGGTATGGACGAAAACCACACAAAAATATTTACTACAGGGACCAAAACCACACAAAATATCTAAAATTGGACTATTGATGCACCATGAAACCTTTTTGAACCAAAATCATATAATTTTGACAAACACAGGAACCATTTTTGCAATTTTGTCCTCTAAATACAACTACCCTCCAGTTTTAGGGCCGTTGACTTCACCCCACTCCTAAACAGAAATTGTCCCTCGGATACTCTAAAAAAATACAAGATTAAAATATACACACAAAAAGATGAAAATGGTAAAATAAGCTTTTAAGTATAACAATAATATTGTATAAACAATACTACAAACAAGCTAGAAACATGCAAATAGAAACGCAAGAACATCATAATTAGTTTAACACCTTACACTCATTTAGTTTTATCTTTCTTCTTCCCTTATATGAATTTACAAAACATTTTCTATTTTGTGATGGATTTTTAAATTACTTTTTTGAGATATATGTGGTTGCAAAGAATGGAACAACAAATAGATGGAACGGATATGTAATCGTAAATGCAAGATAGTAGAAGGAGTAATTCCATTCCAAAAACATGTTTGTGAGAAGTAATGGGACATAATGAAATTTTCATATGATTTTATGTTATATATTGCAATTTAAGTTATAAGGATAATCCTTCACATATATTTGTTTAGTTATTATTATGTAATTAAAAATGATTTATATTGCAACTTTTATACTAATATCTTCTCTTATTGCTCAGAAAACATTGATAATCATAATGTTCCTAACCCTTTTTTCAACAGTTTAGGGTGTACCCATTTATCCTAGAGAAAGTAAACTCAATAAGAAGATTCAAATCAGTTAAACGGTAGAATAAGGTTGTTCAAGGTTCTTACTATACTTCTCTGCATGCAAACAACGCAAGTTAACCAAAAAAAACCCCACTAATTAACTAAAATTAATCAATCCCAAACAGTTTCCAATAAAATTTATCGATGTAATCTATTTACATGGTAAACTAAAACTTTGTCTTTTCTTTACTATTGAGTCTAAAAGATGTATTTATAATATTAAAAAAATAATTGGTGAATAACTTATTTCTCAGAGCCAAATTTGTATTTTTTTTTAAAAAAAAAAGATGTTTTTTACAATAAATCAAAATACATATCACCACTAGGTTTTGCTGAGTTGTAGAATATGTGGATCACCCACTCGTATAAGGGTTTGAATTCTATCTCCAAATCCAGGAACGGATCGCATGGGTAAAGCATTATAGACATTGACTCGAGTATATCTTCTATTCACGACATGGTAAGCAATAAAAAAAATCATTAACTAAATGTATATACAAAAATGTAAAAATAAAAATAAAATCAACATATATAAATTCACTACCTAGTGGACATATCTTCCAAATCGAAACAATGGATGAGAGGTAGTGGTGTTGATGTGTCCATCCTTTTGCTCTTCGATAACCTATAACTTAAAAAATCAAAATCAACAATACAGACCATAAGAACAAAAATCGAAGTAGATTCAGAAAACATAACCATTATGGATTTAAATTTAAATCGAAAGGTTTTATAGATTGAAACTTCATAGTTGAAACAGAATAAAAGAAACTTAATCTAAAATGTACACAAAATCAATCTAAACTACAATCAAATTAAAGTAGAATCCAAATTTTTTTTATCTCTATATCATTGCTCCTTCTTCCATGATTATCGACCGCAAGACTGATCTACAAGATCGAAGCCCACATATATATTTTATTTTTTCTTTTCTTCATTTTCTTCTTCACTACAAAACTTAGGTTACATAAATTATGTAAAAAAATGAAGGAGAGAGTGTAAGGTACTGGTAATGAGGGGGGAGCAGTGTATTTTTTTCATTTTAGTTTCTCTCGAATTTAGTTGTCATTAATAAAGTTATTAATTTGATTATTTTGGTGAGATTTAATTGTCATTAATAAAATTGTTAATTCAATTTATTTTATTTTTGGTAAGATTTAATTATTATTAATAAAATTCTTAATTTAAAACGTAATATAGGTTTTATAAAATTTGTGGAAAAAAAATAAAGGGGGTGACAAATATGAAGTCAACAAATAATCTAAAAGTGAAAAATATTGGATTGAAATGCAATCAATGACATTGATTTTTTTTTTAGAATTAAGGGTTATCTTTTAATAACATCTAAAGATAAATTTCGTCATGAGTTTTTATTTGTTTATACTATTATTAGAAACTGTGTATGGATATAAATTAATAGCAAAAAGCTTAAAATCAAAAGAATAATATTAAATTAAACAAGAAAAATAGCATAAAAGTTAAAGTTTTTTAAAAAATATAAAATTCTTAAACTATACCTATTTGACATATATATTTAAAATATTTGATAAATAAAATTTTAAGACATGGCTATTTGTTAATAATCTCACCATTCTTCGATATTTGGTATGTTTTAAGCTATAAATTGGGGGATAAGTGGGAATTCAGATGAAAAAGTCCGGGTCAAATATCAAGATAAGATAACTAGAAATAAAAAAAAGAGTTAGGTGTGAGATCGACGTCATAAGGAAATGAGTAAATTACACGAATCATCCCTATGGTTTACGGTAATTTTCACATTTGATCCCTAACTTAATTTTTTAACTCGGAATATCCCTACTGTTTGTTTTTGTTACACACTTGGTCCCTGTTTTACCTAAAAATACTATTTTTCCCTTGATTTTTTAATTTTTTTTAAATAAACACACACACAACCCTACCTACCTCATATTACCTTACCTACCTTACCATTTTTCCTATAGTCTTTTTAGGTAAGATAGGGACCAAACGTGTAACAAAAACAAACTTTAGGGATCAAGCGTGTAACAAAAACAAACAATAGGGATCTTCCGAATTAAAAAAATAAGTTAGGGACCAAGCATGCAAATTACCCCAAACCATAGGGACCATTCATGTAATTTACTCTAAGGAAATATATTTATGCTTTAGTAATTGTATTTACTATTTAAATATCGTAATAATTTAGACGTCTTAAAACTATTTTAGTATTTTATTTGTTTATTTTTAAAAAGATAACATTTGTTTAATTATATAGTATAGAAAATTATATTTGCGCTTAAAGATTTGGATGTTTCAAAATATTATTATTATTATTTTATTGTTGGTTATCTCTACTATCAACTTAATGGTTTGAACGTTTTAAAATTATATTAATATTTTATTATTTTATTTTTAGAAAGATAAGGTTTTTATAATTATAATAGAAATATTACAAATAAATGAAATACTAAACCACGATAAGTTACAAATATGTGGAACACAAAACTACATAATAAAACACCTTTCAAATACATTAAAATCCTTATTGAAAATAATACAAATACACATAATGAATTATAATTATTTTCCATAAAACTTGGACATTAAAAGAAGTTTCATGTTTCTTTTTCAAACGACAAATGCTCCTATTGCTTCAGTGTGTTTAGATGCATAAGTTGCATCTTTATTAATTAACTATATTTCATCCATTTTCTGACCCCTTTCTTTTATTGTTTGTTTCCTTTCTGGATTCAGGTCGAGTTTTATTTTCATGACTTCAAGTTCATCTTTTCTAGTAAGACTCATTGCACAAAGCTCCGCAACAATTTTATTAGAAGCCTTACATTTTTTTAGCCGCATCTTTATTTGATGGACGTTAATTGGTGTTTTTGTGTTGGAATAATCACATTCTTCGGTAGTCCTTTGTCTTTTCATTCTACTACCACTTTCCTCGTTATCCACTTCACATTTAGGAAGAAAACATGTTTTGTCATGCTCTAACTCTAAAGCCCTCTTTTCATGCTTACACATACTTTATTAAAAACAATAATAAAACTTGTTCCCATTTGTATCATGGTTGTTTTCAGTATTTGTAATGTTTAGAGATTTTCTATCAAAGGAACTTGATTTGGATTTGGAAAAAGCGGAAGGTTTTCATAGTACGAAGAACTTGAGAAATCATGAACGTCTCAAAAATGCAGATAAACATTTGGATTCAAATTATTTATAATAGAAGAAATAAGAAATTAACAGAGATTAGAAATAAATAAAAAATCAGGATTGAATATTAAAATATGTGGATATTATACTTGTATTTATAGAGATTTTTTTTGAATATTCATTTTTTAATTCTTTTAAATAAAATAATTATAGATTTTATAAAACAATATTTTTATCCTAAAAATCTAAACAATTGTTATATGACATGTACGAGGTAAGTGCCCATCAAACCCGTTGGTGGTTTTAATTGAAGTTTTCTTTTTTCTTTTAATTTTTGTCACTACATGATTTTTTACACATGTGAGTGGAAGTACTGATAGTCTTAATTGTCTTTACGTAAGTTGCGTTTAGTTTCTTTCTTACATCCATGTGCCAAAGTACTTTTTGGAAGAAAGTAGTTGGAGACTTCACGAATTTATTTTAGGGAAAATGATTTAAAAAGGTAATAATGTTTTAAAATCGTTCAAAAAACACAATTATTTTTTTTTAGTGAAAAAAAATACCATGTTACCGGGTATTATATGTTAGCTGGTTAAAAGATTTATGAGAATAATTGTGCCCTTACCGTTCGTTATTTCCCCCAAAATCAAGGGTTCTTTCCTTCTACTTCGTTCGTTCATCCTTTCCACAGAATCACAATGGATTCCAACTTCACAATCGAAGTAAATTATACAGGTTCTTTTGTCCCCAAACCGATTGTGTATTTCAATCCAGTAAAAATGGTTGTTAGCAATGTCGATTTTAGAAGCATGAGTTTCATGGAGTTCATCTCGTATGTGAAGAACTTGGTCAAAGATGGAACAATCAATCTGTAGTATTGTCTTCCACAACGTTCACTGAGAGATGGGTTAAGAGTCTTGGAAGATGAAAATGATTATGTTCATTTCCTTGATGCTGGATATGAGAATGGGGGTATCATCAATTTGTACATTGATCACACTCAATATCCAGTTATGGAGTGGATTGAAGAAGAGATAGCTGAAGATGGATCTATAGATGGTAATACGGATGATGATGATGATGTAGACTCTGAGCTCTCAGATGATGAGTTCGTGGAGCATGAGCTTGATGATGAAGTGATACAACAACAACCATCTGATGATCCTTTCCTTAGAAGAAAATATTTCAAGCCTCCAAGAGTTGTGGATGATGAGAAAGATGATAAGAAAGATGTCAACAAAAATCTTCATAAGTATCCAGTTCATGATCCTAACCAAAAATGGGATACAATGTTTCCAGTCTTAGGTATGAAATTCTATGATTGTTATGAACTTAAGCATTTGTTAAACAATTATGCTGTTGCTAATGGGTATAAACTGTGGTATGAAAAAAATGATTCAACTAGATTATTAGTTAGATGTTGCAAAGGTGAAGAGAAGTCTAAATGCCCTTTTAGGTTGTGGGCAACTTGGATGAGTAAAGAAAGATCATTTCAGATTAAGTCCTTAATCTCTGAACATAATTGTAGTAGGGCCTTCAATTTAGGTTCAATGGTCACATATAGTTGGATTGGAAAATAGTTAATAGAAACCATAATAGATAATCCAAGAATTAGTTACAGGTAAATGGCAGCAACAGTCTTTAGAGATTTTAATCTAAAAGTTAGTTTTGGTTAGTGTAGAAATGCCAAAAAAATTCAATGGATGAGATAGAAGGGAGCTTGGTGGCACACTATGAAAAGCTTAGGAGTTATGGTTTGCAATTATTGAGGACTAATCCAGGTTCCACAGTGAAATTGGATGTGGATATCATGCCTGATTCTATAGTCCATTTTTCTAAGATGTATATTTGCTTGAAGGTTGTGAAGGATGGTTGGATTGAGGGGTGTAGAAGAGTGATTGATGTAGATGGATCTTTTTTAAAGGGACTTTGTAGAGGTGAGGTACTTTCAGCTGTTGGTAGGGATGCTAATAACCAAATGTATCCTCTAGCCTGGGATGTTGTACCAGTTGAAAATAAGGAAAATTGGAAATGGTTTTTGGATCTATTACTTGAAGACATTGCTATGGGACAAGGTAGAGGACTAACCATCATCTCTGACCAACACAAGGTACTCAACTGTTTTTTAATAATAGTATTTCTATTTTATTTTTAATTTATAATGACATCAAAATGTTACTTAACAGGGATTGATTGAAGTAGTTAAGGAAAGAGTGTCAGAATGTGAGCATAGACAATGTGCTAGGCATGTTTATGCCAACTTCAAGAAAAAATTCACAGGAGCTGAATACAGGAAACTTTTTTGGTTTGCTGCCAAGGCCACAACCACAAAATTTGAAGACATCATGAAGGAGATCAAGCTGATTGAGAGTACTGCCTATGAACACCTGATGAAAAAAAAAACAAACAAACACATGGTCTAGGGCATTTTTTAGGGAAGATAGTGGTAGTGATGCCATTGAAAATGGTGTATCAAAGTCATTTAATGCAGCTATTGTGGAAGCTAGAAAAAACCAATAACAACAAAGTTGGAAGATATTAGAGTGTATGTCATGGAAAGGATGTTTACTCAGAAAAGGAAGGGACTAAAGTGGAACTTGGAGATTTGTCCCTCAATTAGAAGGAAGATTGAGGACATGAAGAAAATACAGAGGTATTTATACATAATAAATATATATATATATATATATATATATATATATACACACACACACACATATATATATATATATATACACACACACACTAACTTATATGTTACATTTCATAATAGGTTTTGGGGAGTAATTCCAAGTAGTTTTCATCAATATGGGAGTAGATGGTTGGATGAGGTGTATGCAGTTGACTTACATAAAAGAACCTGTGGATGTAGATCATGGTAGCTGACAGGTATACCATGTGTCCATGCTATTTCTGCAATCTTGTGCTTGAATGGGAATATAGAGGAGTATGTAGCAAATTAGTACACAACACAAGTGTTTGGAAGCTGCTACAGGTATAATGTTAAGCCAATAAATGGACATGAAATGTGGCCATCAAATGATATGAATACTATCTTACCACCAAAGCGTAGAAGAATGCCTGGCAGACCAAAGATAAACAGGAAGAAATGCATTTCAGAAAGAAGTGACAGACACAATGTTAGCAAAGTTAGGACCACTTCTAAAAGCAGTTTATGTTCCCAACAAGGTCATAACAAGAGGAAATGTCCTCTGAAACAGCTTCATGTAGTAGATGATTCAGATCTCTTTGATTACCATGAGCTATTTTAGGGTGAGGGACAGGGTCAAGGGCAAGGATAGGGAGAAGGACAGGGATAAGGCCATGGGGAAGCTGAGGATGTTGGAGTTTATTTAAAGGAGGAGGTTGGAGGTGATTCAGAGAAAGAAGTTGGAGGAGATTCAGAGGTGGAGGTTGAACAAGTGGTTGATGAAGAAGTGGTGAATCCTGGAAATCATCATGTGGTTGCTCCATCTTTGAAAAGGAGAAAGTGTGGTCCTTCCTAGAGGAACACAAAACTTAGGTTGAGGAGGAAAGTGGTGACCAAAGATGATACATGGGGAAGTCTTGAAAATCCTCTCACACTCTAGGAGTAGTAATGGGGACACATTTTGTGAAGGGCATCTTTTGTTAGCTTTTGTCTTTGTGATCTTTTGTTAGTTTTAGTTCAGGACATCTTTTGGTAGGGAATCTTTTGTTGGGCAAATCATTTGATGTCTTGTTTACATTTAAGTCAAAAACTGGTGAATGTGGTTTAATGCATGACATCTTTTGGTTAGGTGTAATGTGTCTTTTGATAACTTGTTTATATTTAACGTATGTGGTCCCACTTTGATAATGTATGTGTTTTGGTAATGTATGTGGTTTATATTTATGGAAAAGGATAGGGACAAGGCCATTCCAATATGTGGTCAAACTTTTTCCCAATATATAAACCAAGAATCATTAATTCCATTTCAATATACACAGTGACTATTAATCAGGAATCATTAATTCCATTCATGTGTGAAGAATCAATATAAAACAATAATCAATAATTCCATTCCAATCTAGAAATCACTTATTCCATTCCTGTGTGAAGAATCAATATTAACTAGGAATCATTAATTCCATTTCAATAAACACGATTACTATTAACTAGGAATCATTAATTCCATTCATGTGTGAAGAATCAATATAAAGCAATAATCAACAATTCCATTCCATTCCAGGAATCACTTATTCCATTCCTGTGTGAAAAATCAATATTAAACCGGAATCATTAATTCAATTTCAATAAACACAATGGCAATTAATCCGGAATCATTAATTCCACTCATGTATGAAGAATCAATATTAAGCAGTAATCAATAATTGCATTCCATTCCAGGAATCACTGATTCCATTCCAGGTGGAGTAATCAATATTAAGCAGTAATAAATAATTAAGCAGTAATAAATAATTCCATTCCATTCCTTTATCAAAACTAAATTAACTTCCATAAAACATTGAATCAATTCCAATACAAGACTTTTAATTAACCAAACTTTCTAAATACATTACCAAAGTCATTACATTACAATTTTCATTTCATTTCAACACAACATACATAAAAAACATAACAAAGAATAACAACGTACAACATTTGAGATTCCTATATTTCCTAGTTAATTTATCCAAGTCTTTTCTGAAACTCATTGATTATTTATCTGCCTTCACCTTATGTGTCCAAAAATTATTTTCCAATATTGATATCTTGATTCAGTGTTGTCTTCTTTTATTAGTTCTTCATCTTGATTGACCCGTTCCCAGAAATCACATTCCTTCTTCTTCTTATCCTTCAATATACATAATAAAATCCACATAATAAATTAAGTCTGAAGGAGAAGTATATGATAGATGCTTAGAATATTTTGATGAACTTGAAGATGCCATAGGAGCCAAAGGAGATGAAGATGGAACCCTAATTTGATGGATGAAGGTTATTAAAGCACGTTCAATAGTTTACCTGAGGTAACCGGTTACCTCAGGTCACTCTAAAAGGTTATTTGTATTTTGTTGGTAGTTTTTGTACACAAATTTCATTTTAATGGTATTTTTTTCACTAAAAAAAGAATAATGGTGTTTTTTGAACGTTTTTTTTAACATTATTACATTTTTAAGTCATTTTCCCTTTATTTTATTGGTTGACCGAGCAACTAAATTTATTATATTATAAGAAGAAAAGGGCGCCAACTAGTAATCAGAAGATTTTTTATACAAGTTTTAAATTGTATATGTATTTTTATCTACAAATATGTTGGGTAAAACATGGGTAGATGAAATTGTTGATGTGTGTTAAAATGATGAGAGGTCTCAATATTGTTGTTGTTCCAGTCATCTAACGGAGTATAGATGACGGCCACAGACTTTTCTAGACAATCTAGTGGAATGCTGGCAGGCCCCCAACTTGTAGGTGTTTGTGAAATTAGTGTTCACTGGTATACTCTATCCCCCACATGGTTGCCTTATTTTCCATAAATTTTCGAGGAATCCCCTAAAGCAGTGTTGTCACCCTGATGAAAATTCTTAGACTAGGTCCCTTATGAAAGGTGTTTAGGGACGTAAAGTGAGAATAACGGGAACAGGTAATCAAGGTTATTGTTGTTTGACGAAATTAATAAATTTATTGTTGGTTGATGAAATTAATAAATTTATTTATTGTGGGTTGAAAACCTGATATGCTCACCAAGCTTCCAAGATTGACCCATTCAGCCTTTTATATTACAGGTAGTGGACCCAGAGCATAATTTGGATTATGAAGAGGGATTTTTGGATTATAGGCCATTAGATGTAAATATCTGTTGTAAGGTCTATAATATGATGTTTATGCTTTTGGTCTGTATATATGGAAGATGACATCCCGAGGTTTTGTTATATAATGAAAACATATTTCTTTAAGAAATACTTTGATAAAATTTTATTATATTTTGTTTTTGGAACAAATTCCGCAATATCTGTTGGAAGATTACTCTGATTTTATTTTAAAAGCATAAAATAATTTGGTCTTTTCTGGCTGAGAAATTGGAGGATGTCACAGGATCTGAATTCCTTCCTCACTCCAAAACGTGCTTAAAACCAGAAAAGCCTCAAGATTAAGCTAGTAATTGCCAAATACTCTTAAATGGGAAGATCTAACAAAGGAATGAACAAGGTAATGACTTGATACCTCCAAAAGAATGCTAAAAGGAAGTAGATACCAGATCTACAAGCTCCTTCCCGTTCTAAGCTGCTGAATCTTCTATCTTCCTTTCTCTAAAGCACCAAAGTTCCTTCCAAGCCTTCACACACACACACACACATACATAAAATGAGAAACACTGCTCAACTAGGGTTTCTAAGATCAAAGGGGACGATAAAAGACGCAGAGGGTGGACAATGAACCTTTAAATAAGGTGCAAAACCCTGGAAATTAGGGTTTCATATTCCAACTCCAACTCGTCGACTTTTCCAAAAAACTTGTCGAGTAAACAGATTCCTACACGTCGGGTTGAGGCCATCAATTCGACGTGTTCCAAGTAAAAATGCCCTTTTTAGATAAAATTCTTATACATGGGCGTCGAGACATTATACTTCTCCCCACTTGAATTCGACTACGTCCTCGAAGTCCACTGTAACAAACAAATCCGAGTAATGCTCCCGCATCTCAGCTTCCGGCTCACACGTCTACTCGGATCCCTTCCGGTGCTCCACTATACCTTTACCAAAGGTACCTCCTTGTTTCGTAGAACCTTCACTTTACACTTGAGGATAGCCACTGGCCTCTCCAGATAATTCAGGCGCTCATCGACCTAAATATCATCTAATGACACCACTGCCTCTTCATCCGGTATGCACTTCCGCAACTATGAGATGTGAAACGTGCTTTGGGTCTGACTGAGCTCCTCCAGATGATCCAGTCTATATGCTACCTTTCCCACCCTGGAAATAATTCTGAATGGCTCAATTTATCAGGGACCCAACTTTCCACTCTTCCTGAAGCGAATTACACCCTTCCACGGTGAGACCTTCAAGAGCACCATGTCACCAACTTGAAAATCCAACTCAGATCGACGCCGATCGGTGTAACTCTTCTGATGAATCTGAGCAGTCTATAACCTTTACCTGATCGGCCGGATCATCTCGGTAGTCTACATAACTACCTCAGTCTGACCTATCACCCTGTGGCCAACTTCGCCCCAACAGACTAGGGTACGAAATCTCCAGCCATACAACAACTTAAATGGCGGAGCACCAATTCTAGAATGAAAGGTGTTGTTATAGGAGAACTCTATCAGAGGTAGGTAGGATTCCCAACTCCCATTGATGTCAATAACATAGACCCACAACATATCCTCAAGGGTCTGTATGGTCCGTTTGCTTTGGCTGTCTATCTGAGGATGCTAAGTTGTGCTGAAATAAAACTATGTGCCCACTTCCTCATGGAAATTATGCCATAAACGGTATGTGAACCAAACATCACGATCTGAAATGATAGAGATCGGAACCCCATGGCAAGCAATGATCTCAAGGATATAAACATCGGTCAGCTTCTCGGCCAATGAGCTCTCCCGAATGGGCATAAAGTGGTCGCTCTTGGTCAACCAATCCACGATGACCCATATATCATTGAATCCCCTTGCCATTCTCGGTAACTTCATGATGAAGTCCATCATGATCTGCTCACCTTTCCACATGGAAATCTCCAGAAGCTGCAGGTTGCCACGACCTCTGATGCTCGACCGTGACCATCCTACAGGTCAAGCACCTCTCGATGTACCAAGCGATCTCTTGCTTCATGCACGGTCACAAGTAACTCAGTCATAGATCCCGATACATTTAGGTGGCTCCTGGGTGAATAGAGAAGCAAGACTTACGAGCCCCCTCCAGTACAATCTGTCTAACCTCACCAGACATCGGACCCCAAACCCGACCGTATCGAGTCCAAAATCTTCGAATATCTTGCACAAACTGGGTGATCTCACACCTGATCCTCTACAGTTTCTAGTTCTCTTGCCTCACACCCTCATCCTGAGCATCTCTAGTCAAGCTCACCAATGGAGAATCCACAAATATCCTCATACATGTTGGTAGAATAAAAGATCCAGCCGACTTGCGGCTCAGGGTGTCCGCCATGACATTCACTTTACCCGGATGGCAAAGGATCTCACAGTAATAATCCTTGACTATCTCCAGCCACGTGTGCTTCCTCATGTTCAGGTTCAGCTGATCCATGATGTGTCTCATGTTGGATTTGGTGTCTAAGCCCATAACTATATATTGTATGTACTTGACCCGATACTAGCATGGTCTTTTTGGGTTGCCTTTACCAGTGCAACTTGAAAAGGATAGAATTTTGAGAATAAGGTTATTTTTAATTTATTAATATATTATATGTATAATATATTAATTGAGAAATCATATTATTTAATTAGTATTGGTCAACAATTAATTTAGTGATCAAAAGAGACTAGTTAAATATAAAGGGGTTGATTATGTAAATCAATCA